TCTGTCCAGACAATAGGTGTTTAACTTATCATTTCTGTAGTTAACACAGATGTTTTTAATTATATTCTTTTTCTTCAGTGGCATTTTGCATTTTAATTGTGACAGTTTTTGTTTTGGAATTTCTTGTTTCCTTTTGTCTCTGATTTAATTCAGTGCCAGGCTCCTATTGTTTAGTATGTTTAAAAAAATCTGTTCTCTTTGAAGTCCCATTTTTCTTTTGCAGATAAGATAATTGCCTGGCTTTTTGGCGCTAGTCCCTCAAACCAGCCCTTCCAGCTAGTCCTTTGCCTTGGATCTTCTTTCACCACCTCAGGCTCCAATCAGTTCTTGTTAAATCAGTGTCTTGAGGAAAAGATCTTTGTGCTGTTAGCTCTCAGTATGTTTGCTAGCCATTTAGGCTAACCTTAGTACAAGCTTGGAGGCTCTCTTGTGTTGCATCCACCTTTTGCTGCCCTCCAGTTCATGGCAGTATGGAATTAAGTTAAATCCTTATCATTTAACTTTAATCAGTGGGCAGTTTGAAACATTAATTGCTGAATAGTTGGTGAATGTATACTTCATAATGACTTAAATGGTTGTATTTATCAATCATGCATTCCTAGTAATGTGGTATATGCCTGAATTCATGAAAATGTTTGTGTAGTTCAGAGTTCTGGGATGCTAGCTGAATATGGAACGTGGACTATTCAGTCACAAGACACTGGGAATAGTTTTAAAACAGACCTTTGATGACCTGCTATTTGTAATTGAATCATAAACTACTTAAAAGATCTTGCATCAATTCTAATTTAAGCATATAAACTGTTCCATTCAAAAGTTTGAGGTATTGAAAACAGGTCTTAAAATGGAAATTGAGACATCTTTTAACTAAGAAATTTCAGTTGCCTTCTCCATAATACTTTATTTAAATATATGAGAACTGATGTCTTAAAGCTTTCATAGACAAACATCTTACATGTAAGATGTAAAATGTGCATGCTTCAAAGGGTTTCATATGGTCATTGTGAATAACTTGGGTATTGCTATCCCCATTTAGCTTTCTTTTGAGAGTTATTTTTATGTATTCTGCTTGAAACTTTAAACTGAATATAGAAAGGTCGAAATAAAGTCTGATGTTCAATAGCTTGATATCAAAAGTACATAGTAACATAGCATGTTAAATTTTTACTTGCTTGTTAAATAAGAGGAGAGGAAGTAATCTTTCTAGTCTTTAGATCTTTCTGTTGACTAATTTCATTTTTATGCAGGTCTGTGAGGAATGTATGTGTGATCTTGATTACTGGGGTTTTTTTTTTCCAAGTAACATTTTTATTGCTGATTGCCTGCACGTATTTGTTGCAGTTAAACCATAACATCATTTTTATAACTGATGAAAATGATGTATGAGGGGGAAGAAAAGGCCAAACAAATGAACCAAAAGTATTGGCATGTTGATATTTGAAAAGCCACCTCATTTAAATTTGTTTTTTTCTTTTTAAAAAATGTATAAACTTACAAATATACACTGCTGTAATAAAAAAGATTGTAGTCTTAGGAAATATCTGTATGTGATCATATCAGATACTGGATTTTGATACATGAGACAGTGATGAGTGATGTTCTGAAATTTGTCTCAGGGTTGAGGAAACCCATGACTCGAGAACTGTTAATAAAAAGTTATTGCTCTGACTTATTAGTATCTTTTATAGATAAAATCTAGTTCATATTTTGTGGTATTTTGACATGTTTTATCTGGTGTGACGGTGTTCTTTTGGCTGTTTTTTAAAAATATAATTATTTCTGTCATCTGGATGACTTGTGCGCACACAAGAAACAAATTATGGGTAAGACAATGTTATGAAATAGACTTTTTATAAAAGTGGCCTGGATTGGAAGTTGAGTGCTACTGCTGAAGAGGGATAGAGGTTGAAGAAAAGGCCCTAGAAAGGTGTTTGTCAACTGTTACAAAAAGTTTCAGTAGTTTCATATCTTTTTTTTTTAATGTATTTAAATGTAAACTGATGCTGTCTGTGCATTAGGCTCATTCTTATGTTACACATACTTTAGCAAAATCTCATTGAATTGTCTAGATCAAGTTGTGCTCCAATTGAAGCTCAGTATCCCAGGATTTAGCCCAGGGGTAGGCAACCCCCAGATGCATGGCATGCAAAGGCATTTTGCTTGGCACTCGTGCCTCGGGGAAGGGTGTAGAGCTGCGCTGCCACAACAAGGACTGGGCCTGCCATGGCTCCCCAGTTGTCTGCTCCTAGCACACCAACATCTTACAAATTGAGGTTTGGGTGTTTTTGGCATTCTGCCCAAAAATGTTGCTGACCCCTGATTTAGCCCATTTGAAAATCTCACCCTAATGGGTTATATGCAGCTTTGTAACTAAGGAGCTGTTATAGCATTATGTGTAGGACACTGCAAGCAAGCTGAGCTCTTGTGTGAGAGCTCTTGTGCTCGCTCTCTCTCGCTTGCCTCTATTAGTGGGATGTTGTAAAGTGTTTTACATTAAACGTTCTTCTAAACCTAGCCACACACAAATATCATCATAAAATGAATCTCCCAATTCTTGAACTAAGGGAGTGCTGTTTTCTAAAACACAATACTTTTGATTTTTAGCTCATCTACTGCTCTCTGTAGCCATCTCAAGCTGTACAGTGAGATTGAGTCTTGTCAGTTTTATTTTCAAGACTTTTACGCACAGTAGTCAAACAGAAAATGAGTTGCTATTGCTTAGACTAATACTAGGAAAGACCAATACTTTTTTCTTTGCTCAAAAGATGAAAATGACAAGAATGCTCAAAAGACTAAATACAGTGTCTTGTTTTGTTTGAGCAATATAACTAGTTGCCCCTTTGCAAACTCTAATGTTGACCTGCTGCACCACTAAAAAAAGTAGCTTAACTTGTTACAGTTTTAAAAATAGGGAAAGGCAGGCTAATGTCACATTGTATTTGAATCCATTGTATCCATGTAGGAGATTGTATTTGTTGTAGCTGTATTGTGTAGACAACCCTGACCCTTTCTCCTTTATAGGATGGTGTGAAAAATATACCTCTTCTCTAGCATGTGACAAGTGAAGTGCAGCAGCTTTATTAGACATGCTTCCTAAATGTGTTTACAAAAGCTGTCTTAGGGTGTTGGTGCCAATGCTTTCTTAGTACCTGGATTGATGAAACTTTCCCCTATGAGATCCTTGGTGATATCAAAGAAAGGTGGAAGGAAAGCTCTATCTTACATTTTTTCTGTATAGATATTGATTCTGTTTTAGATCAACGATGGCCAACCTGTGGTGTGGGTGCCATAAGTGGTGCAGGGTGATTCAGTGTGTGGTGCACAGCAGATTAGGGAGTGGACAGGCAGCACAGCAGCAGATAGGGCTGGATAGAAAAAGCTAAGCAATTTGGGCTTCCTTGGGTTCCACTGGAGCCCAAGGAAGGAAGAAGGAAGTAGTGCTACAGATCAAGTATGGAGAAGAGGACTGGCAGCAGAAAGCATAGCAGAAGATTGGGTAGGGCATTGGAGTGGCGCTTGGAGAGAGTTCTGGACTAGTTTGGTTAACCTGCCAAAAAGGTTGTTGTAAATGATAAAGTTGTCATCAATATGAGTTTCAGATGACTCTATTATTCATAAATAGTAAAACAAAAATAGTGAGTATAGAAGTAATCTCAGATGAATATCAAAGAATGTATGTAATATGTGAACATATACCTCTTTAACATTTGTAATTAAAATTGTCCAGTCACTTGGTTAATCAAACAACCCCATCCCCAATCTCCCATAGAAAGGGAAATATACCTTGAGGTGTGTAACACTGCAAAATAATTCTGTACATTTTATGTTAGTAACATGTTTGATTTATATAAATCAGTGAGTTTTCACAACTTTTAAAAGGACAAAATAGTACATGGATTGTGAATTTCATGCGATCTAAGCCAAAAGGTTAATTTAAGTTAGGGTTACCATTATAGGTGCACTGATACATTGGTCTGATATCGGATCGGTACTGATATGAAGAAAATTGTCTGTCTCGGATATCAGCCCGATGGGGCTGATAATTTGGCCGATAAACGCCCATACTGTGCACAGGCACGGCGCAGCACAGAGCTGGCAGCATGGAGACCTGCCTCCGGCTGGTAAGTCAGAAGGGGAGGGGAGAAGCAAGGGGCATGGGGGGCGCAGATCAATACCCCCCTGTGGTCAGGGAGGAGGCAGGCGCTGCCCAAGCAGGGGTTGGGTACGGGATGGAGGCGCAGATTGTGGGGTGGGAGCAGCTCCCGCCACTGCTTACACCCTGGGCGGGTACATCGTGGGAGTGGTTTAGGTGTGAGGGGCAACAGGTGTCCTCTTTTTTTGGAACTGGAAATATGGTAACTCTATTTAGGTTCTAGATAAAATGAGTAATTACATAATTGGCTGGGTGTGATTAGTGCCATAATACTTTGTTCTTTCCCCTCCCCCTTCTTCCCTTTACCCCCTCTTATTTACCATAGTTATGTATCTCAGGATTAAAGAAGTTTAAAATCCAAGTTAGTACTGGTGATTGTTAGATTACTTAGATATCATAGAAATGACATTTCAATTCCACAATGTTTAAGAGGTATATTTTGAATATTCGTTAGGAAGAGCACTGTCAACTTCATTACATTGCTGGTAAATGTTGCAGAGTGATTTTTTTTGTTTGTTTGTTGGTGACATGCAGTTTTAAATGCAAAGCTGTGCTGTTAAACTTCATGCTTATGCAGTTGAAACGTAGAGTTTCTAAGGAAACTGTAGGAACATAGTTACAAATATAGAAGTATTTCAGAATGAAATAGAATTTCATGATTTTGACACTTCTAATTAAAGACTTCCTCTTTAGTCTTCATTAGAAATTTCCAATAGATATCTTAAATTTATTGAGGGAATGTATATGTTTTGTAAAGGACTAGTGAAATGGGAAACACATTTTTAAACTGATGGTCTTGAACATAGAAGAAAATCAAGTCTTAATTTTTACACTTTTTATTTTACAGGAGCTGGAGAATCAGGGAAAAGCACAATTGTAAAACAAATGAAGTAAGTATAGTTGAAAGGCACACAGCATAAACAAGTTGTTTTCTTTGAAGAGGAGACTCAGTATTTTTTTCCTTCATAGGATTATCCATGAAGCTGGTTATTCAGAAGAAGAATGTAAACAGTACAAAGCTGTTGTCTACAGCAATACCATTCAGTCTATTATTGCTATCATTAGAGCAATGGGGCGGTTGAAGATAGACTTTGGTGACCTAACCAGGGCTGTGAGTATTGAAGTACTTTAAAAAAAAAAAAAAGTAGATGTCCAGCTAAGGTATCATGCATCATTCTAGCATGAGTTCTTATCCATTTTTTTCCAGGGTTCATGATTTTATTTCCTTTTCTTTATCCTCACTCAAACCCCACCAAAAAACTGAATTTAGATTGTCCTGTCCTGTCCTGTCCTGATGTATCCGTGTAGAAGAACAAATTTGCATGGTCTGGTTGTAGCATCCTATAGAAATGAGTAGATCTTTTCTCTTGCAGACGCTTTATAGAGTATCATAAATAGCTTTACACTATTTTACACTACACCGTTATATGAAGTAAATTGCAAAAAAAAAAAAAATCCTGAATGCCTACTTTGAAATGCCTACATTATTTCACTTCACTAGGAGTCAGTGAGTGTGTAACATTCATTATCTTATAGTATTTCTTGGCTCAATAGTTACAGTATGAACTTTCTTGCAGAAGAGATACAGAGGAAAGGGACAAATTTGTGTAGACAGTGTATTGAAAGATATGAGCAAAGTATTTGGGCGGGTTCTTCATGTAGCTTACTCTTTCACCCTAACATCAAGGTTATAGTTGTGAATAATAAAAGGGTGGTGTTAGTGACAAAGAACAAGAGGAAGAAAAGTAGGTTTGGTAAAAAAAAAAAAGACATTAATCCTTGCACTTGATACTGCCTCTTATTTGATTAATTTCAAAAGCACTTTCAGGGAGTGAAACAGGTAATTTTTTCAGTTTTCTAAGACTGCAATAAAATTGTTTGCATAAATGATTCTTAGTCCTGTCCTGTACTTAAATAAACTAGAGAATTGTCTATCGTTAATTGCCTTGCATATGTATAATAAATGAGTTTGAGATCTGGTAATTGTACATATAGTTGGTCAAAACTGATTTCTGGCACTGGTACCCTCAAGTTCCTCATCTGTTTTTTGTTTTGTTTTTATATAATCACAGAAAATGAGGGTTGGAAGGAACCTCAGGTTCATCCAACCCATACTTCCTGTCTAGGTAAGGCATTCATCACTCTCCTAGTGAGCGGGTTTTTCCTACCATTCACCTAAACCTCCCTTGCTGCAACTTGAGACCATTGCTCCTTGTTCTGTCATCTGCCGCTACTGAGAACTGTCTAGCTCCATCCTCAGTCCTGCTCCTTGGCCCTGAAAATTAAAGATAGAGCTTACCTTGAAGGCTCCCCTTCAAAGAACGGGGTTGCACACTGACCTGTGAACTGATTTGCAAACTGCCCTGTTTGCTCCTGGAGTCTCCTTTTACATGCTGCTGGGCCTAGACTGGCTCCACCCCCTTATTAGGGTTTTTGTCAGACACAGGCAGCAGTCACCTGGCAACCTCCCAGCTGCTCAGAGCACTCACCCAACCGCACAGCCCCTAAACAAACATTCAGCAAGTCAAACACACAGGCAGCCCTGCCTCCGGTACCTTCCCAGAGCAGGTTCTGGTGCCTGGCTCTTGTTCTTCTCCTTCTTCCTCTCATTCCCACTGAAATGCTTGCAAACAGCCCTGTTTGCTGCCCATACTCCCAAAAAGAAGAAATAGAACCATCAGGGTTCTGCAATTATCTACACAACTTATACAAGATCTTTTGATGTTATTTTTCTGAATTCCTGCTGTGACCACGCTTAAAATAATATTCTGATATTTGACTTGTATCCCTGTGAAATAGTAGGTCATGTAATGTTCAACATCTATGAATCTATTACTAGCATTTGTGTCCTTTGCTCCAAGCAGTCTTTTTGTCTCCAAAGTGTCTTTCCTCCTGTCTTTCACCAAAGGTACAAACAAGTCTGTTATCCTACAGGAGATGAGTTGCCCTTTGCTTATATTACCTCCTTTATTATTTGTTAATATCCACCACTGCTTCATTCAACTCATTCCAGAAAATTCATTTTTCACAACTACCTCCTGAAGTATCTATGCTTTTAAATAGTTTATTTATTTAACAGATGTGCTTTCTTGCTCACCCATTTTCTTGGTCTACCTGACCTATGTCCAATTGGCTATCTTTTAGGAGGGATTTTTCACTTTTCTGTTTACTGATAAGTGTTTAGATTAGTGATTGATGCTAAACCCGCTCCCCCCCCCCCCACATTTTCTTGTTGATCACACTTAAGTATGAGTTAAGCCTAGCCATATAGAATTCTCCAGTGAGGATTGTGTTGTTTTAAATAAAGGCAAAATCTGTATGTCACTTTCATTTAGAGTTAAAAGACCCATATTTGAGTTTTTTTACAAACAAGCAGTTTGTCTTGGCAAACATGAGAAAGAAAATAGAAGTGCAATCAATGCTGGTCATGTTGGAGGACACAACTTCTAGACTGTCATTCAAACAAATCTGAAATCATTGTTCTATATAAGAAAGGTCAAAGCAGTGCAAGTGTAAGGTGAGAAGTCTTTTGGGGATTTGGCATAAAATTCCTTGGCTTTTCACACAATTAAATAAATGTCTGCCTATGGCCACAGAGATGGAAGTAAATTTACTTGCATTAATAGCCACACACAAATCAAGGGGTCTTCTTGCATCTCCGTTTCTTTAGGATTAGTCAAACTGACTCATTTTCTTAAGCTCAATTATTTTTTTTGTGTGTGGTGGTGTAAGGTTTGTTTCTTAACTAGTTTTTTCCTGCTTTTTTTCCCACCCAGGATGATGCTCGTCAGCTGTTTGTTTTAGCAGGAGCAGCAGAAGAAGGCTTTATGACAGCAGAACTTGCAGGAGTTATCAAGAGACTGTGGAAAGATAGTGGTGTTCAAGCTTGTTTCAGTAGATCTAGAGAATACCAACTTAATGACTCTGCTGCATAGTAAGTAACCAAGGCTTTGTCTGTCCTGTAAAGTGGCATTTTATGAATTTACTCAAATTTTAAGACAAGGCTTTTTTCCCCCCTAGTCAACATAGGAAAAAGACCCTCATCTTAAATTTGTATACAGAGCAAGCTGAGGGAGGGGGCAGCAAGCTGCTGCAGTTCTATCTTTCTCCCTGAGCACACAGAGTACAGTACTCTGACTTTGGTCCTGAGCACAGAGTACAGGGAAACTGTCCCCTGCCTGGCCAGTCAGCAGTGCTGTTGCCGTTGCATGGCTTGGCAGAGGCTGTGCTTCAATGTACTGTGTTTTGTGACCCGGTAGGGAACGGAGCCCAAGTGGCATCTGACAGTAAGGCGGGCAGAGACTGGGGAGGGTGGGGAGAGCAGGAAGGCTGCAGAGAGAAGTGGGGGGGGGGGGGGGAGGCCACTTGCTGCCCCCCTCCCCCATTACTGCTTTCCTTGCTGTAGCACTGTAGCAGTGGGGGTGGGTTAATTTAAGACAGCTCTCCAATAATTAGATTCTATACCTAGAAAATTATAATAACTTTCTAAATTTTCCATATAGAGAATCTAATTATTGGGGACTCTTAAATTCAGGGTCATCTTGGAATTAAGTAAATACGGTATATTATTAGTGGGCAGAAATTGTCTGTGTGCAAGGTGCTGGAAAACATATAGGTCAAAGTAGCCTTTGCCTAAATGAGTTTATCTAAGACAGATGCAGCAAGTCATTGTAAACAAAGATATAATGGGATGGAAAGAAAATAACAGGAATAAGACTGCATATCACACACAGAGACTTTCAAAGGATTGGCATATCATTCTCAATCGTCTGCAAGTACTTGTCAATAAATTATTTCAGTCAAACTTAGCCATATACATGTATATTCCATTAAAGTATATGATATAGCCACGTTGAAAGTTTTCAGATGTCCAGTTTTTATTTGTCTGTTCTGAAACTGGTGAACTATTTGAATTTTTCTAGATTCTTTAAGCCATGAAACAAGCTGAGCTCAAGGTAGCAAATATCTTGAGGTTTTTATACAAAGCATGTTCATGGTAAGAGGTCCTGAAAATCATGTTTTTTGTGCACCATTTTTCTTATATCTCATCAAATCCATTTATCTCTGGCTGTAGTATTTTAGGTAACTCATTCAGTTTCATGAAATTTCATGCACTGTTTAACTCCCCTGTATATATCTCTGAGGTTGATAGCTTCTGTTGATAGAGGAAAATGTTCTTTTTTTAAATTTGATTCTTTTTTAAAGTAAGCAAATAAAAATTCACATTTGCCTTATATATAAGTGCTGGATTTACTGGCATGTATGTTTTAAAAAAAAATAAAACTTAATGTTTTGTATTTAGGATTTCTGAACAGAAGGAAAGCTGGGTTGACAAGAGTATCCCAAGATAATTAATCTAGTAAATGAGCAGTTACAAAGCACTTGCATTTTTTTCAATATGTATAGCTTTGACAAATAAAGACTTAGCAAACTTGTTAAAAAATAATGGGTTAAATAATCTCTAAAATACTTGTATTGCTTTTTGATTTGCAGTCTTATCTCAAAGTTTACCATGTCCGTGTCTATAAAAATTTGTATGAGGATTTTAAATGTGTCAGTTTAATCACAGACAAAATACCTTTATCTGTCTGAGCCTTATTTTCAATAACTGAAAGCAATATTTCATTTATTTTCAGTTACTTAAATGATTTGGACAGGATAGCACAAACTAGTTATATACCAACTCAGCAGGATGTTCTCAGGACTAGAGTGAAAACTACAGGAATAGTGGAAACTCACTTTACTTTCAAAGATCTTCATTTTAAGTGAGTATTCATACTAAATATATACCCCCATGACTTTGGTATGTATATCAAATTTTAAATCTAGGTTGACTGTGCAGTTTATTAGTAAGCTAATGTTGTGACTAACTACTTGTACTTTTGCAAAGTTATTTCCAAACATTTGATTCTATTTTCAGGCAGAAGGGCAGGGCCAGGTGTCAGCTTAAAGATTAACTTGTTCAGAAAGGCATACGCTTTTGTAAGCAACAGCCTATGCTATCAGATGCTGTGACACTGTGCTATGACTATAGGACATCTCATAGCATCTGATAAAGTAGGCTGTTGCCTGCCAAAGCTTATGATTTTCTGAACAAGTTAATTTTTAAGGTAACACCCTACCCTGCTTTCTGCCAGACTTCAGACCTAACTAACAGCCAGCTACCCTTTCTATTAAGAGAAAAGTTGAGATTACTTTTTTAATGAGTAAGGTATGCATGCCTTCCCTTTTCTTTAATACTAGCTTTGGTGCAAGTGACTGTAATATTCTAATCTTTCCATGCCCGATAAAATTGTGTAACAAAAATAAGCTGTTTTGAATTTCATACTGTTTTATCTAATTCTTCAGCAAAATCCAAAACGCAATAAAAAATTTAAATCTTGGTTCAAGTTGTAGATGTGATGATTAACTGTTCTATACTATAAAATTGTAATCTAAGATGTAAGTATTCTAAATCAGTTTACAAACAAGTCTTTCTGTAGCAGTTGATGTGCTCTGAATATATTATCATTGTACTAGTTCATGAATAATTTTCTGACTTAAAGTATAATGATCCTAAAATGTTGAGAACTCTTGGAATAAGTTTTTGAGGGTTCAGGAAAACTTAAAAGAGCAGGTTTCTCTAAGTACAAGTTTAAGAGTCTCACACTCCTTCATGTTTGGAAACTAAACACATTGTAATTTTCTCTATACCACTTAGCAAACCAATATGGGGACAAAGGGGTGAGAGTGACTTTTTTGTTTTTAATATTTGTATAATAAGGCTTTTTTTTTTTTTAAATGGTCAGTGCAAAGGTAAATGGCCCTTCCAGGTGCTGAACATGAAATACTTGTTAGCAACAAGAAAGACCATGTCACTAGAGTTTGAAGCCCCCTTCCCCATGCCCTTCACATAAGACCAGATGTCCATCTTCCTCATTGCAGAGGACACCCTCTGGCCCAGTGTGACAAACTGGTCCATGCCTTTGTCACAAGGTGAAGTGTCCAGGTTCAGATGTGGCATGTGACCAAACCAGGAAGCAGGAGTTGGGGTGGGAGGGAAATACAGTAACATACAGGTGAAACTTTCTTTTGTGATAGAAGAGTGTTTGTGTTTAACACATTGCTTTCAAAGTAAATTAAGTAATTTTATAACTTGGTAGATTTATCCCTTTATATATTTGAAGCCCATTTTGATGAGAGTAGGGAA